CCTCAACTTGATTTCTAATGTGACAGTGCCATTTGCTCCACCACTACATCATGTTCCAGCTCATTCATTCTCCTTGCTTGTTATTACCCAGCTCTCAAAATAGTTAAGCAAAAGCCGGGTGGTGGTGGCACACACATGTAATCCCAGTACTTGGGAGGCTGAGGCAGGTGGATCTCTGTGAGTGCAAGGCCAGCCTGGTCTACAGAGTGAGTTCTAGGACAGTCATGGATACACAGAGAAGCTGTCTCGGGAAAAAAATCTCTCTGTAATCTATCTACCTACCTACCCATCCACCCACCCATCCATCCATCCATCATCTACCTACCTCTATCTATCTATCTGTCTGTCTGTCTTGTCTATCTATCTATCACCTACCTATCTCTACCTATCTATCTACCTACCTATCTCTACCTACCTACCTACCTACCTACCTACCTACCTACCTACCTACCTACCTACCTACCTACCTACCGAGGCTCTTGTAGCCCAGGCAGTTCTTGAACCACATCCCAAGTACTGGGATTACAAGATATTCACCATACTGGATAGCTTGTGGTTTTAAGTAGCATTTTCTTAATTACCTATGATGATGAGCATCCTTCATATGCTTTGTCCCTGGTTGGTATTTTGTTTTTGGTTTTCTTTTTCAGGTAGTTTTCCCTGCTAGCTCAATCTGGCTTCCAACTCATGATCTCCTGCCTCAGCTTCCTATGCTAGGATTTCAGCCACCATGCCTAGTGTTAATGGTTTTACATTTAAAAGATTATTTATGCATGGGTGGAGGCACATACATGGAGTGCACATGTGGAGGTCAGAGAACAGCCTGTAAGGATCAGTCTTCCCATCACGTGGGTTCTACTCAGTTCAGGTCATCAGGCTTGGTGGCAAGTGCCTTAGCCTGTCCTTCCATTGAGGTGTGGAGACCTCAGTTCAGTTTCTTGTTTTCTGGAACCTAAGCCTTGCTCTCCAGGGCTCCTAGGTGGCCTCATAGTTCAAGTGCTGTGGTTACCACCCACCTCCTTGTGCTTGGTAATCTGCTTCCTGCATTTTTATGATATGAAGAGACAAGACAGGGATTAAGGAACATAAATGGATATCTGCCTCCTTTGTGCTTGTTCTGTAGTGCACAAGGTATCTCCTAAAGGCTGAAAGGGGCTGGATCAATGGCTCAGTGGCTAAGAGCACTGGCTGCTCTTGCAGAGGACCTGGGTCTGGTTCCCAGCACCCACACTATGGCTCACAACCATCTGTGACTCCAGTTCCAGGGGACCCAAAACTCTCCTCTGGCTTCTGCATGCACCAGCACACACATGGTGCTCAGACATACATGCAGGGAAACACATATATTAAATAAAAAAAGCTAGACATTTTCTTTTTGAGACAGGATCTCACTACATGATTCAAGCTTTCAACTTCTGCAGTCATCTTGCCTCAACCTTCAAGGGCCTCAGCCTCCTGTGTTGGGATTTCAGCCACCATGCCTAGAGTTAATGGGTTTTATAGGATTTGAGGATTATAGGTATGAGCTACATCTGGCTTAGGATGTGTTAAGTCTTCATGCTGTTCAGATGCAGGGTTAGGGCTTGCAAGGCAGAAGCTTTTCTAAGGTTATTACTTGATGTTATTTCTTTCCTTCATATGAGGAGTGTTAAGCAAACTTTGTAAAAAGCCAACTAGAATATATTTTAGGCCTTGATGGTGTTTTGTTTGTTTTGTTTTAGCCAGCTACTCAGTTTTACTGTTGCAGCATTGAGTCACTGAGTCCAGGCTTCAGTTCCCAGCATACACAACCATTGGTATCTCCAGTTCTAGGGGATCCAATGCTCTCTTCAGGCCTCCATGGACACTGGGCGTTATGTGGTGCACATATGCAGGCTGAACACTCATACACATAAATTACCTCAGAATTTTAAAAGCTTATATAGGTTGTCTGACTTCCTTTAGAATTCTATTAAAGAGTTAATGAGTACAGGATATACGCAGTTCAAAGTCAGACTTGGTCTCTTGCACTGGGGAAATAGTCTTGTTAAGTCTTAGACAATTTAAAAAGCTTTTTTACCTTGTCATTTTTATTCCGTCAGAGCGTTTGCATGTGGAAACCTTGTCTTACACCCTTTCTTCCCTAGAACCACTTTGGTGATCTGGATGGTGGCCATTACACCGCCTTCTGCAAGAATGCAGTAACTCAGGCCTGGTACAGCTTTGACGATACCCGAGTCAGTGAGATTCCAGACACTTCAGTTCAAACGGCCACAGCCTATCTTCTGTTCTACAGCTGCCAGCCCTTTTCTATCCCGATACAGACTCGCAAGAGCTAGGACAGCGCTCCCGACCACTGCAAACAAGCCATCAGGAAATGCAGGGAATGTGCTTTGTCATTAAATCTTTACCACCTACTTCCACCGCTAAGGTCTGTAAGTCTCACAGACAGCCTGTATAAGACAAGTCTACAGCATAAGGAGATAGGTCCCTGCTCGCTAAGGGCGGCATGCAAGCCATGCACTGCCATCACGGGCACATGCCAGACATGCACTGCCATCACAGGGGCACATGCAAGCCATGCACTGCCATCACAGGGGCCCAGGAACTGCAGGTTTCAAAGGTCAATGTTTCATACGGTGGGTTTCTGTCATATTTCATGATAAGTACCAAGTTATTTTCCAAAAAAAATTATACTTATTTTGTCCTGTGTGGATGTGGAAGTCAGAGGGCAACCTGTGGAAGTTCATTCTCTTTTCCACTGTGTGGGTCCTGGGGATTGAACTTGGGTCCTCACTGAGCCATCTAACCAGCCCAACACAAATAATTTTTGTTTATACAGGGGAGCTCAGGGGTAGGATGTTTTGGTTACACAGGTATAGCTCAGTGGTAGGATGTTTGCTCAGCATCACTAGCACAGGGAAAAGTTAAGTGCAAAAGTGACCCGAAGGGCCGGAGATGGCCCAGTGGCTCATAACAGCCCTTGCTGCTAGCAGAGGACCTGGGTTTGGTTGTTAGCACCCATAAGGTACACACCCACACCCACACACCACTAATACATATAAATCTTAAGGACTTGAAACCCATGCTCAAACCTTCCCCCGTAAGTTAAATAACCACTCTCAGGATCTTTGTTTAGAAGAGACTCCGACAATATGGACTACTGCACTGCCCTTGGCTGCCTTCCAGAACTTGAAGGTTAAGATCCTATTCCACCACATACTTCAGATACAGGACTTGAAGGAATCAAGCTGGAACCGACCTGGAAGCCTGCCCTTGAGGACTAGCTCTGGTAGTATCCCAGCATGCTATGTATGCTGCCAAGGGAGGAAAGCAATCAGTAGTCAGAGTCAGCTAGGACACCCATAAACCACAATGGCCGAGGAGGCAAGAAGCCCAGCAGCTGGATGGTGGCACCTGTGTCATGTGGATAGCCAACAGCTGTCTAACTGGACTAACCGGATCTAAACCATTCAAGAGAAGGGATCCTTGCCTGGTAAACTGAGTCAACTATCCATAACTGGTGAAGTGATGGGCCCTAAGGAAGAACCTCCT